TGCTTTTTTTTTCTTTTTCTTTTTCTTTTTTTTTTTTTTACCTTGTGGTTCTGGCTCCTTGTCCATTCCGGGGAGCGTCAGTCCGGTTCTTATTTCACCCGCAAGTCGTGAAGATACATAGGACATACCCACTCACGCTCCTCCCCCTTCTGGTGTGGAGGCCCGAAGGATGGCATTGATTGCTTCTGTTTGGAAGGATGTACCCCCCTTCACCCCTGCCTAAGTTAGCCTGGTCTAAGTTACTCTTGCCTTTTGCTCGCCTGATGTAGCGTCAGACCTATTGATTGGAGCTAGACTCCTTTAATCTACCCTGCCTATTCCTCTTCGATCTATATCTGTCTGATGCTAGTCCCTCTCTTGCTCTGCTAATTAATTCTCTGTAGTGGAGTCCGCTGAGGTATGAGCCCTGCGGCTTCTTTTTCTGTAGTCCTAGCTAAAACCCTAAACCCTAGGAGTCCGGTCGTTCCCTGTATTCTGAATGTATTCATGTTGGCGTGTGTGTTCGGGCTTCCTGTAGACGATGAATCCAGGATCTAGGGTTCCTGTGTTTGGGATGCTTGGGCATATGAAGGACCGAGTTGCTTTAATTGCTCCATCTATGTGGAGGATGGACTGTCAGCTAGCCAGGAATCTCCCTTTACTCTCAGATCCGGTCTTGAGATCTGTCAGATAGATCTATATCACCTATAAAGAGCTTGCTCCGTGTCCCAGCTGGTCCTTTTGAACCTCCTTACCCATCCCATCCATGCAACACTCAGTCCTCCTCCCCAACTTTGTCTTTTCCTTTTAGAAACAGTCTCTAAAACCCTGAACCCTATGCCCTGCTCCAACAGTTCTAAAACCTCCGCCTAAGCCTGCCCTCCTTTGAACTATGCTTGAGGCTTTCTTTACTTTGTCCTAACTTCAAGTCTCCCTCCCATTTTTTAAGAAACCTTAAACCCTAAACCCTCGTACCCAACCTTTTAATCGGCCTTGTTCCAATAACTTCCGTTTATGTGTTGTGCCAACTCCCCTTGATATCGCTTGCTTGATTCACTCTGCCTCCAATGTCTTCTGGTGTCTTCATAAGCCACCCTTCCAATCTGTGCCGTAATATGCTGGGTCTATCTCGGCTGTTGATTCGGCTTCCTTTCTCCCTGCCTCCTCCTTCTTGTGTATTGTAAACCTCGCCTGTTTTTGTTGCGCACTTAGGCTTGGATTTTGGCGTCATTCTTTGAGTCGAGAACTTTTGCTTCTTCCGTATTTTGGCCTTGTTAGTAAAAGGGTGGGTACCGGATAGAGTCTTGGGGGGCCGTGCTGTGGAGTGTGAGGGGGTTGTTGTTGAAAGGGAGTTGTCGGGGGCGATGGATGTCCTGGGTCTGTTATGGGTTTTTGTTGTTGTGTGTATCTTGGTCGGGAGTGTGGTTAATCCTTGTTTGTGAATAGCAGGCTCTCCCCTTCTAGTCTCGCTGTTTTTTCCTCTAGTAGCCATAGTTTTGTAACGTTTTTACATCTTTGGTCCCTCTTGTCTGCTAGAAATATCCTATGTTGTTCCTTTTGTTCCCTATACCAACGCGCCCTTATTTCGGTTTGTATAATGTTATTTATCTCCGTCCTTTTTTCTTCTGTGCTCAAGGTTTGGCCTTCTAATGTGGCTTTACATCTCGCTTTCCATATTACCCAAAGTGTTGCTCTTCTCCACAGTTCTGCGACGATCTTTGTGTCCTCTTCTACGTTCTCGTTTTCGTGTCTTCCTGATAACAGGTAGAGAGGGCTGGCTGGAAATTCGTGACCGGTTAGTTTAGCCCACGTCTCCTTGGTTCCCCTCCACAACTCTTGGGCTTGTTGGCAGTAAATCAGACAGTGGACCAACGATTCCTCCATGTTCAAGTTACAGACCTTGCACTGTGAGTTTTGATTGTGGGGGTCATTCTGATTTCTCCTTTTAGCCAGCCATTGATTGACCGGTAGTGCCCAATAAATTATGAGCCATTGTAAACCTCCGATCTTGGCTGGTCTTATGCTCATGAATTGACTCCAGGGAATTTCTGCAGGCCATCTAGCGCTTGCATCCAGATTCTTTTCCCACCTCTCCGAGATTGCTGGGAGAGGGTTCTTTGTGTGGTTGCCGACTTTATAGCCTATTTTGACCTCATAATTGTAAATTGTTGTAAGTTTTTTGGCTTTTCCTGAGGTGCTAGGTACCATCCATCCCTATTTGGCCGGGTCTACCTCTAGGTCTTTAATATCAAGATCTGGTCTGAAGAGCCTTAACCTGCTTAGGTTGGTTAGACTGATTTTGTCCTGAGCTTTTTTGAATGTGCAAACTCTGACTTTTCTGAGATTTTGCAGTTCTCTTTCTTTCCTTGAGTCTATGACCTTACCTATTTTTACCCACGATTTGTGCGCTTCTTTTAATTCATAGACATCAACCTCAACTCTCTTTTCGTCTATGTTCGGTATTTTGATCAATTTGAAAGCCTGGGTTGGGGAATCTGTGTCTCTTGCTGTTGCCCAGTCTCCCACTTCCCATTTTGTTTTGTTCTTGAGGATTAGTACCCACTTTAGCAGTATGCTCTCTAGTATGTTCTGTAGTTGTTTGTTTAGGTTGTGGACCCCTTTCAGTTTAGTTCTGAGCTCTTGTGTGGTAGTCCACCTGCTTTCCTCTGAATTCCAAATATGGTTAATTTTCCACACTCCTCTGCCGATCCATTTTCTCCAGTGTTTGCCTTTGGTATTTAGTGTCCATGGTTTGTCCTCTGGGTCTCTCAGCAGGGGGTTTCCGAAAAGTGGTTGCCTCAGTACTTCTTCTTTTATTCTTGGGGCTCTGATCTTTTGTGGAAAGCATGTTCTCCAGTGTTTTATTAATGTCGCCCAATGCTCGCTTGGTGGATCATTGTGGCTCGACCGATTTCCTCTCTCCCCCTTTCTTGGGTTCCACGATGGGTTCATGATCCAATGGTAGCCTTTGATGGAGGGGTCTGCTTTAAAAGGGATGAGATTACGGATTTGGTGGAGGGCCATTTCATGCCATGGTAGTTCTTTGTTAAAAAGCAATTTGATTGTCCACTTATGCTGAAGGGCTTGAAATTGTATTGTTGGGTTCAGTAGCCCCAGCCCCCCTTGCTGTTTTGGTTCGGTGATGTATTTCCAGGCCACTTCGCTCATGTAGCGTTCCTTTTCGGCTTTTCCTGTCCAGAGATACGCCCCTATTTTCCTTTCGAGCGTTGTGAAGAAACTTGCAGGTGGGTTCCACAGGGAAGCTACGTACCATCCCATAGACAGTATTGATGTGTTTATTACCAGCACCCTCCCCATTAGTGATACGTAAGTTTCCTGCCATCTTGCTAACTTGTTCATCATTTTGATTAACAAACTAGCGCCAGACTCATTGCTAGTCCCTTCTGCTGAAAGTTGGATCCCCAGAAAGCGCATTGGTTGTTGAGCGTCTAGCCATTGCAGGTCCAGGGTGTCTTAAGTTT